AGGAGTCTCTGTATTCCCCAAGCCTGCTATTATACACACATGTGATGATTTCTCAAAAAGAGATGAAATGGTGAGGATGAGAATATTAAAATTGTGAGCTTTAAACATAAGTTAGATCAGAGCTAACTTTTACACATTTAAATTAAATTAACACAAAGAAGAAAAGTGTAGAAACATGATCTCTAGAGCTAGAGCCTGGAAGTAACTTGGAAACCTCTAGATGGATACAAGTATAGAGCTTGAAAGATAACCCAAAAGTCATCCATCACCAACTATTACAGTAAGAAATAGGTGTGTCTTAGGCAGACCTTCTGAGGTGTGTGTGTGTGTGTGTGTGTGTGTGTGTGTGTGTGTGTGTGTGTCGTGCACATACATGCATGTGTGTGTGGTGGGGCCTGAGGACTTAGAGTCTCTGTTTCTGGTCTCTGAGATGGCACTCTTGATGAATGTGTGTGCAGACTGCTGGTGAAGGCGGTCTGCAGAGATCTAGAGGCGCTAACAGTGTAGTAGGGTATTGAGCTGGCTGCTTGAAATCCAAGTTTTTATATAATATGTTAACAGGGCAGCACAGAAATAAATACCCATAGTTTGGGGTTTTGTTGTTTTACCCCATTTGGAATATTTTAACACATTGTGAAATATATCTTAATACTTCGAAAAGCTTAAAGATGTATTTAATCAGTGCCTTTTTCTGTTTTTACCAGTTAAAAATTCTTCTTTAAAAGAGAAAAAGCAACACATATTTAGTATAGGAAAGTATAAGAGAAAATGTAGTTAAATCCTGGTGACTTATTCCTGATGCCAGTGTGTGTGCTTCTCAGCCATCCTTGTGACCGCTCACTCACTCAGATTACAGAGGCGTGTGCTTGGCAGACACAGGTCTCAGAGAGTCTGCAAGTAGATGCCAGATTGTTCTTAGTGCTGCTCTGTCTGCAGCAGGCACACAACGAAAGGTCGCAGCACAGTTTCCACAACAGAGGCAGCAGGGATCATGAGTCTCCATATTGTTCTCTTGACCTCTGAGCCCTGAAACCTACCCAAAGGCAGACCTTCCCAGTGCTAGCGTGAAGAGCACTTTTCTTCAGTTGTTTTTCTACTGTGTTTTACACTTTTACTACTGTTTCTTCCTCGTTAGCTGTTGACTACGTAGTTCTTCTTTTGTGGATTTTTTATAGTTGCTCTTTGGCTCCCGCCTGGATTAACCATCTAAAATGGAATTTGTGGGTCTGGCCTGCCTGTGCAGAGCAGTTGGCCAATTTCAACATTGTTTTGTAATTTGCTTTGTGTATATACAGCTTTATTGGGATCGTTTGCATACAATAAACTGTACGAATTTTAATATATGCTTTGATAATTTACATACTTGCAAGACCATCACTTCAAATCAAAATAGTGAACATACCCATCATTCTTCAATCACTTTATGCCCCATTTTAATTGTTCTCTCCCTTTGTCACTCTTCGAAAGCACTGTGAATTAGTTTCCATGTTCCAGAATTGTTTGTAATAAAGCTATTATATAGACCATGAATTCTTTTATGTCTGGCTTTTTAAATTCTTAATTATTTTGGAGTTCATTTATGTTTTAGCATGTATCAATAGTGCCTTCCCTGCCTGCTATTGCTCCATCCTAAAGATTTACCACAATTTGTGCATCTGTTGTCTACTGGTGGATATCTAGCTTTACAAATAGAGCCGCTGAGTCTTCAAGTGCAAGTGTTTATTTGGAAAAATGCAGTCCCTTCCCTTATGTAAAAGGTCAGGATCATATTGCAGGTGTACTTTCTTAAGCCAAGTTGAGCATGGTAGTGTACAAGTATATACAAGTGTGATTTTACTTCTTGGGACACTGAGGCAAGCACGTGATGAGTTTGAAGCTGGTCTGCACTGTACAGAGACTATCTCACATTTACCTTTGAAGTGTCCCAGCCTCTTCAGATCCTTGGCAAAGCTGACATGGCAAGACTTTCTCTTTTAGCCTTTCTAACAGACAGACTTGCCACTTTGCCCTGGTCCTGGTTTGTGCATCCCTGCCTGACTGGTGATGCCCAGTGCTTTCCCAGGCGCTGAGTGCCATCTTTGGAGCATCTGCACTGTCTGTTTACATTCTAACCATGTTTTCTTCTGTTTTGTGTTTTTGGTTTTGTTTTTTTCATTCTCCCTGACCCCTTAAATAAAGAAGTAGGAACACAGGTGTTTTTAATTTTTTTTTTTTACCATTTATTCATTTTATATCGCAATTGTAGTGCCCTCCCTCAACTCCTCCCAGTCCTGCCCTCTCCCCTCTCACCCCTCTGTCTTCCCCTAGACCACTAAAAGGGGGAGTTCTCTTCCTCTGCCATCTGACCCTAGCTTATCAAGTCTCATCAGGACTGCCTGGATCCTCTTTCTTTGTGGCCTGCACCAGGAGCAAATGATCAAAGAGCAGGCAACCGAGTTCATGCCAGATCCAGCCCCTGCACCCTTTACTTGGGAACCCACATGGAGACTGAACTGCCTATGGGCTGCATCTGAGCAGGGGGTCCAGGTCTCTTCTGTGCATGGTCCTTGGTTAATCTGGGTTGTTTCCTTCCTTTAAGTTGACTTGTTTTCTTAGTCTTAATGTGAGAGCCCTATGGCGATGCTCTCGGCTGTGTGATTTACACACACTCTTCCCAGTGTCTGTCCTCCTCCTGATTACATTCACACTTTGGAGAACAGGAGTTTTAGATTTTCAAGTACAGATTATCAGTTTGCTCTTTCATGGATCTTAGTTTTGTATCTAAGAAAATTTTACTTACTCCAATCTCCCAGAACTGTTGTCCTATGTTTCATTCTAGAACTTTCATAGCTCTGTGCTTTATATTTGCATGTTACCTCATTTTAATTTTAGTACATGGTGTGAAGGATGGATCAAAGGTCATTTGCATGTTCATCTGTCCTGGCACCATTTGATGACGTTTGCTCTTTATGGTTGCCTTCCCTCGTCTGTATATGTGCTGGGTTCTCTGTTCCATTGATCCGCTCACTGTTGTGCAAATGGCTAACTGTATAGCCATCCAGGTGACTTTTATATGTGCCGTTCATGTGCTGTAACCTAACTGAAGTCAGGTCCTACTGAATGGTGGCTTACTAGGTATTTTTTTCTTGCTTGTTTGTTTGTTTTTATTTTTATAGAGATACAGGCCTAGTTCTCTGGAGTAAATGCCTCCTTAAATTTTATTCTTTAAATTTGCCTCATCTTCCTCTCCTTTCTGTCTTAGCATTATATAGAAAAATATCTTGCCAAGAAATCAGTTCCTTTTTATTCCTTTTATACATTTTGTTCATTATCTAGTGATTTCGACCAAGAAAATAAATCTGGTTTCTTTTTTTACATTTTTATCCAGAAATATGAAAACTCATTGCCTGTCATTTACTTTTTAATTTACATTATTTTAGGGCTTCATCTGTTTTTAATAAGTATTTAAATGTTCATGAAACAAAGTCAATCCCGTTTTTTCATAAAAATAATTAATAATTCTTGACCTGTTCTGACATAACCCTATAATGGATAATCTATGAAATTTAATAAATGTGTTTTTCTGAAACATTTACACACATCACACATAACCACCTCATGTTTCTGTTTGTAACTTTAAGAGTACACGGAATATGATGGCTTGTCCGTTGATTCTGTGTTTTCATTTCCTTTTGTGTCATTTTTAGAAAGCCCTCCATTTCAATATTGTATAATTAAGAAATATTTTTTTAAATAATAACTATGTATTTATCTCCTTTTGGATATTTTTTTTTCAGATTCATTTTTCTTGTCGAGTGAGGGAATGCACATCTTTTTAAAAATATTTCTTTAATTACTTTACAACCTGATCCCAGCCCCACCTTCCTCTCCCTCCTGTTGCACCATCATGCCCCACTCTTCCCTGCCCTTACCCTATTCCCTCCTCTTCTCAGAGAAGGGGAGGCCCCTAAGGGGTATCAACCACTCTGGCACCTAAAGTCACAGCAGGACTAAGTGCATCTTTTTCCTCTGAGGCCTGACAAAGCAGCCCAGCTGTGTGAAAGGTATCCAAGGGCAGGCAGCAGAATCAGAGACAGCCCCTACTCTCCTTGTTAGGGGACCCACATGATGACCAAGCTGCACATCTGCTAAATATGTTAGGGTGTCTAGGACCAGTCCATGCATGCCCTTTGGTTGGTGATTAAGTCTTTGCGAGCCTCTATGGCCCGGGTTAATTGACTCTGTGGGTCTTCTTGTGGAGTCCTTGACCATCTTTTGAATAATAAAGGATGATGGAGATGCTGCTCTCTAAACTGATCATCACCACTGTCAACAAACACCACCACTTAAGCCTCTGTCTTCTCAGGATTTAATCCAAAGCAAAGATTCCGTTAAACAAAGATAGCCATGGAAAGTACTTTTTCATGCAACATCTACAACATGGAAAGACAAAACATTGTATGCATCTTGTGACAGGAGAACAAGTATTTTAAAATTATGGTTCTTAGGTATTATAAACATTAAAATGGTAGTCATGTTATAGAAATTTGAAACCATGTGTTTAAACTGAGAAAAAATTTAGTTACTCTACCTACACTTTGGTATTTTGCATGGAATAGATCTATGCATAAAATTGAAGGAGATAGAAATGTTAAACCACGTTTAGGTGCATAGATTTCTGAATGAGTATCTTTGTCATTTTTGCATGTTTAGGAGGCATTTGAAATATATGAATATAAATTTGTATTAGACTTACAATTTACATTTCCTTTAAAGCTCAATTATAAAAATGCTTGACGTGAAATTGTGAAATTATCAATTTTCCTTGATATTTTTATTTCCTGTAATTTTTCATCTTCCCAGTCATGATGCCTTCTTGCTCCTTAGCAATTAAAATGTACCGTTTAGTTTCTGACCATTTGTTAAATATCATCATTTCATGGCTTAAGTCTTTGATTGTTTTTTTTTTTTTTTGCTGTAATTATATGTACTAAGTTTAGATTTGTTTTTTTATTTTTTAGTAGCCCAGCAAGAGGCTGAGATGTTCAAACGCTATAATGGGACACTCCCATTGCCTGGAATACATCAGAGCCAGGATGCTTTGTGCACCTGTCCCAAACTGCCATACCAAGGCTCTTTTCAGATTGATGAGTTTGTCAACACTGAAAATAATTCATCCAGAAAGATTCAACTTGTGAAACAGAGACTCGAAACTGTCACGGTATGTTCGTTTTAGTTACGTAAATTTTTTTGTAGTTGAAAATGTAAAGCCATTTCCATTGTTATACAATGAAGCTCAACCTAAGGAAGTTAGTTAATTCCTTAAACATGGTTTCCTAAGGCGTTTGTAGTCCTTTCTAAGTACTAGTTCTGCGTCCCTGACATAGCATGCCAACAACACTTTGGCTAACTCATCATGCTATAGGTCTACACTTCCTTAAACACCAGTCAAGATCTAAGGCTTCTGAACCAGATAAGCATACCTAGCACCTGTCACTGGAGTGATTTACACTCCTAGGAAGAGAGGAGAAGCCATGCCCCTGGCAGCCCTGCATGGTAAGATCACTGAGGGGAGGCCTATTAGCAGGGCTAGACTCTCAGCTGGAGTCCAGTGCTCACTGCCAGCTCTTCCACGGGCTTCTTAGAGGAACAGAAGTCTGTGAAAGCACAACTCTTGAGTGTCTCCTGAGCTCCAGTGCACTAGAGTCATCTGGCCTGTCAGAGCGCTGTGTGCCGGGCTCCATTCCTGTGGTTTTTGATCCCATGCCTGGCTTAGTGCATGGGTCATTTCTGACAAGTTTCCCAGTGCTGGTCAGAGCACTGTAGTGAGAACAGCTAGTCTGCTTCAGTCCCTAGCACGTAAGAATATCACACACTGGCATTTTGCTGTCTTGTCTGCATGGTAACTTCTTGGAGGCAGTTCTGATCAGGGTTAGCATATTATGACCTAGCTGATTTTCACAATTTAATATAGGCGGCTCACCTAGAGGACATTTGAATTCCTTAACTTCCCTTCTATAGAGACTCTGTTATATTATTGTAATATATATTATAATTATAAATATAATTTTGTTTCTGTCCACTTTTCTGTATTCTTTTTTAAAGGATAAATCAGTACCCTGAATTTTTGCTCAGTTTCCCCATTTTGACATTTTGCCTGACTCTTAATCTTACTGTTCTCTGATTGGTGTTGCACTGTTGCCACCTGTATTGATAATGCATTAATGGCGTCTGCCTATGGCAGCCCCTCTGCACTTGCATGCTTCCCTTGCAGAAAGTGTTTACCAGCTATAGCTTGTAATACTTGGAACAAATAGAACTTAGCCACCTCAGTAACTGGTTGATTAAGTACACCTAAGATAGCCAAGAGAGCACAAATAGTAAACCATAATATGTGTGCATATGTATACACACATACACATATGAACTGCAAAATGTGAGGCAGTCTTAATAGTACACCTATGAAGTGCTGACTTGACTCTTATTTTAGCAGTTATGCGACATTGGCAGTACAGTGGCTGGTGTCCTTGTTTTATAAACAAAACAGCTATTTATGTTCAAAACACAGGTTTCATAGATTTTTGCAAGTATAAATATTGTACAAAATCTATTACTATTTTTAAAGCATTTCTACTTGAAAAGCTATGTAACTTTTTTCCTGTGTTTAACTGTTAAGTTGCTTGTGTTAAATGATATGATATAATTTGTATGTAAACTATTATATAAGACCAGGAAGTCTAAGTTTGAGGCCAGCCTGGTCTACAAAGCGAGTCCAGACAGCTAAGGCTACACAGAGAAATCCTGCCTCAACAAACAAACAAACAAACAAAAAAACAAAAAAACAGACCAAGAAGTCATTAAAGAGAGAAGCAGAAAGAAATAATTCCCAAACTTATAGAGACTTTAATGGGAAGAAAGAATGGTCAACAACGTTAGGTATGTCAGGGTAAATTGCACTTAGGTAAAAACTAGACAGAAGGACACCCGACTCCAGCACAGTTCAATAGAACCACACAGTGTCATTACATAAAAAGAAGTTTGGATCATGACCCCAAAAATGTAATTCATTCGTGGGAGGTTTTCTTTGGAAGGTTATGTCTTCATGTAAACTCCATGATCTACATGTACATATTTTGGGACATCTCTGCAATAGTGGGCTTCCCTATGGCTTCTTAAAAGGCCAAAGTGTTAGCTATCCCTTCCCATGTTGCCTCTCCACCTTGACCTCCATTTCCCACCCCATTTCTTAACCCCCTTTTTCTGATTTCTACTTTATCCCTTTGTAACGCTATATTCTGGTTCCCTTTCCTCGAAAGATCCCCACCTCCACCCCCTGCCCTGCCCAACCCGCTACTCGCTACTAGCTCTGTTGGTATTGTAAATGAAACTCAGACATGGAGCTCCACAGAACCTGCTGGTCAACTGCAGTCAGATGTGGAAATGGATTGGCATTCATGGAGAAAGGGTAATCTCATTTAAAGCAAGAGAGACATTAAGTAGATGTGAATTGTGGATTCACAACAGTGGATAAAGTGCTTTCTGCATAATCATGAGGACATGAGTTCAGTTCCTCAACGCCCACCTTAAAGCTGGAGTGCTGGAGTGTCTCTGCATCCCAGCGATGAGTAAGTGGAGACCACCGACTCGCTGGAGATCACTGACCAGCTGGCTGTAATCAGTGCACTCAGCTTCAGTGAAGACCCTGTCTCAATAAATAAGGTGGAGAGCAGTAGAGGCAGAAATCTGCCATTGACCTCTGACCTCCAGATGGACACACAGGGGTGTACACATCTGCCTACAAATGTACGGATGCCACACACACACACACACATACACACACAGTTGTATGCATTAACAAGAAGAGAGCAATACAGGCAAAATATATCATTAACTGATTTAAATTGTGTTCTAGCAAATAGAACAAATTCGAACTTTTATTAGTGAAGTCAAAAGGTAGTCTGAGAATTATTTAAAAAGAAATAAAAAGACTCCCTTGGTAAGGTAAAAATTAAAAAATTCACAGACAAATCTTAAAACTCTGCATTGCAAATGTAAAAGGGAAAGTTGATACTTAAAATACCCACTTAGTGAGGTAAGATAGAACTAATTTCAGCAGCATGCTTGGGAAAGCACTACAGTGAGGCAGCATTGTCAGCAGCTCGAGAGCCAGTGTCTTAGGCAGTGGCGTAGGTGGACAGGCTCTAAGCTGTGCCTGATTCTTGAGCACAGTAAGGAAGCCTAATTTTCCTCTCTTCTAAGTGAGGGTTCTGGTATTCCTCATCTTACTGAATTGTCAAGACTCAGTGAGATCCTAAATGTGAATTTTCATAGGGTGTCTAAGATATAGTATAGTTATGATAACTGTTACTGTTAACAAAGAACGTGATGCAAGTTCAAAAACCTAGATGCATCAGAAGAGAAAAAAGAACTGTAGTATTAGGAGAGACAGCTTTGTTCACGTGCTGCGCTGTCAGTATAGATTGCTAGGCTCACTTTCTTCAAAAAGAAGTATTAGGACAGGTTCAGAAGCTTAACATTCTTAAGAATATGTGTCCTCTTTGACCATGGTCCTGCGGCTCCTTGGCAAATGGGGCTCTGCAGCCAGTTCATACACTACTGTTTCCTCATCAGTTGTCACTGAGCCTGGCTAGTGATACGTGTTGCCCTCTCCTCCCTTGGTGCAAACCGCTATAAACCAGACTTGGCAGGGCTGTCTCTGCAAGCCTAGTCCTGCCCATTCCCCCACCCCCTTCTGCACAAGGCACCAGGGCACAGAGTGCACTCTTTACTGGGCTGAGATTCAGTTGGAAACTAGAGTAATGGTGTGGGTTTTTTAATGTTAGTCAGTTAAAATTAATATATTACTGTAAATTATGTTTGTTTCAGTGATTTAGTTCTTATATTTTAGTGTTTTTAATATAATCAATCAGATGTGTTCCATATTTTAAAAGCAATTGTAATAGATACGCTGCTTTTCAAAATTTAGAGAAGAAAAATCTCCAGTAGAAAAGATAAAGGCTCCATGCCTAGCATTACGTATGGCAAGGTTTCCTATGGACACACAACTCAGCATGCGCGCGCGCGCACACACACACACACATGCTGACACTCCTCCATACTCCCAGCTTCACACTGAGACTTGGCATCCTGAAGTACCTAGCTCTTTTCTGTTTTTTTTTTTTTATGTATACAGTGTTCTGCCAGCATGTACAGCTGAGTGCCAGAAGAGGACAACAGATTTCATTATAGATGGTTGTGAGCCACCATGTGGTTGCTGGGAATTGAACTCAGGACCTCTGAAAGAGCAAGCAGTGCTCTTAATCTCTGAGCCATCTCTCCAGCCCCCGTACCTAACTCTTATAGCATGTTTTCTGATACTATATTATGTATTCAGATAATTTAAAAAGAAAAAGAAATGTAAAAAATGTCAAAAGGTATTTTTAAGAAATTTAATCAAAGACAGGATAAATAAATCAATAATTTTTACAAAAGAGAGTTTGTATCTCCTTAGTTCCTCAACTTTCAGCACATATTTTCATTTTAAATTAGGGAATGCATATGTTGATATAAGAACTGTCTCTGGAAATACATTTTTGTCCAGTGTCTGTGGTTTCAAAACAAAACAAAACAAAAAGCACATTATTGTTCCCATGTAACAAGATTTTACTAAACTTTTTCCACATTACATATGACTCATTTTCTGCCAGTTTGAATATAAAGTAATGTATATAGGAATGGAACAAAAATGCCATGCCACTCCTACATGGCAGCTTTATTCTTCCTGTATTTTATACTCATTAGGTTAGTAGGATTTCCTACCTTTTGTCACAGTGTCTTTTCTCTTGTTTCTTACAATTATATTGTAGTAGATTCCAAATGCCATTTTCTTTAAAGGTACCTCTAGTTATAGAAAGTAAATTACTCAGCATAGCCTTGTTACTACATGAGGAATAGTTTCTAATAGAACTCAAGTTCTAAGTGATGCTTTATATATATATATATATATATATATATATATATATATATAAATTTACATAATAGAGTCATCTCAGCAGGCACTTAGTGTTTATACTTTAGGAAAGGACCTAAAAGTAGATAATAATCTGATCCTTAGAGCATTGGCATCCAGTCATAATATAAACCACTGTTTCGTAGTTTGCAGACCTGACTGCCAGTCCCACAGAATTCCTAAAAAGCATTCCACAGCCGAAGTGAAATCTCCTTGAGACACAACTCACTGAATTTTTAGACTCAGAGATTTGCCCTCAGGACTACCTTGAGCAACTACACAGATGCTCAGAATCCTGGGGACCTGTTAGGACCTACCAGTCCAACAAGCAGTTGCTCTCTCAGAACCTACGAGAAAATGCCTTCTGATGGCGGCAGGCCTAGCTCTTCAGGGGCTAGACCACTCAAGACTGCGCTGATTCCCACAGTAGCCCAGTTTAGTGGTTGCAGGGGTGTTTGCCAACTAGAACCACAGAAGTGAGAACAGGATGACTTTAAAAATTATTTATGTCCATTTCGAGAAGAGCTACTTTTTTTTTTTTATTGCATGAGCAATTCATCCTATACAGATTACTGATAAGTAATATGTCCCATTGTTAGTAATTCTTGTTCTACTGTATTTCTGGTACTTTTCTAAGTACCTCTCATGCTGTCATAGTTAATCCTTCAGTAATACTTTAGGATGATACAGAGTATCGGTACCCTCGCTTTCCAGAGAAGAACTTGAAACCTATAGACTAGTGATGGAACTCAACAGACTGGAAGGGCTGGACTTGCAGTTCAGGCCAGGAAGCGGGATTCCCAGCTCTCCCTTTAGAAACTGAACTACTCTATCCTTGAAACATAGCATCTGTTTTTACATTTTTGGAAGAAAAATCCAGTACTCTTTTACATGTTTGCTTGTTCAGTTGTTTATTGTAGACTTGAGGTTGGTTATTGTTTTTTTAGTGTACCAGGTTAATGATAAATGCTGGTTAATTCTAACTGAAGTTGAACATTTTTATTGTTTCCATAGTAGCAGATTTTCAACTTGTCCATTACTCATTGACTTCTACTATTTTCTTATCAAAAAATGATAATTATGGCCTTATCCTATGATTTATAAGCAGCCCCTTTTCTGCTTTTTAAAATTGCTTGTCACATTCTTAATCATCTGTGTTATTTATGAGATTTTTACTAGATATAAATTGCTAATGTGGAAATTATAGACATTGTTACCATTCACAGTAATAACTATATTCTCTAGGTAATTCAGAGTTTATCTTTTAGGCCTATTTGTGATGTAGGACAGGATTTTGACATTTATGCCAGGCTTATTAAGGAGACAAATCTTCTCTGAGACATCAAAACTGTGCCCTCACAAGTGTTGGTCAGTGCCTTTGGCATTGGCAAGTTAGTCTTACTATTAAATGTCGTTAAGTGTCTTGAATTTATACTATTTGTAGCTCATTGGAAACAATACAGAATGACATTACAAGGTGGTAAAGAAACTCTTAAATTCTGGTTTTTGTTATTAGAATATTGACATCTGAATGTTTTAAAAAGAGTCAACACTTTATTTAAATAAAATGATAAGTACTTCTTCATTGTATTGTATTTCTTTCAGGAGGTGATACGATCCTGTGCTGCAAAAGTAAGTAGCTTTCATTACCAGAAAGACAACTTTAAAGTTAAGTTTCTGTTGTGATACACCAAGAAACTGTAGACTGCCCCACTGCAGAGCTCACAGCTTCTACAGTGGCTGCCCAACAAGCTTCCATTTTACCAAAATTTTAACACAGGGACCCCAGAATTCGATAAGAAAAGTACTTGTCAAGTAGCGCCAAAGCTCTGAAGTTTTAAGTCCTAGCACAGGTCCGGCACACAGCATCCTCCTCCTACAAGCAAGCCCAGCTTTACATGCCATCATTAAGCAAAGAGTCAGAGTGCCAATTCCAGCCATCCTTCCCTCTTCTTCTGCCACTTTTAAAATTCATCCGAATAGACATCTTGTCATTTACTGAACAGAATTACACATCACATAGTAAACGATGCGACACACGGAGGGAAAGAATTAGAGTGGCTAGAGGAGCTCTCTACACAGTGTCCGACAGAGGAAGAAAGTGTTCTGTTGAAGAGGCAGCTGCAGCTGCGGGGCAAAAGCATGGAGTAAGAGAGCCCATTCATTATCTTCCTCTCCGTGAGGCATGCCAGAAAGTACCACCCTGACCCTGTCACTGCGCTGCTCTCGGTATCAGTCAGGACCCATCTCATTTTTACCTAATTATCACTAGTCCACCAGATCTCGAACACAGACAAGGGGAAGGAAGATGGGGAGGGACAGAACAAGCTGTGTTCTGACTTGGCGGCAGATGGTCAGGAAACTTCCTGATAGCAGCGATTGTTGTAGTGATTATGGCCCCACGGCTGCTAAGTCTTCTTAAGTGTAACAGACATAAAGCTGGTCGCAGGTTTCTGATGAGCTCTGACCTCTCCTCCCATTCTCTTTTCTCTCTTCTCGCTCTCCCTCCTCTCTCTCACACACGTGCCATAGCATTCTCTCCTCTGCTGTCTAGATTTCAGCATGGTCAGATATTCTGTGTACAGGCATTAGGGAGTATGTCCTCTGTTAATCTGAAACCTCTGAGGATGACAGGTAGCATCTGTATCTTTGTACATTTCACAACAGTACATTTATCAATGGTAGGATGAATACTCATCAAAATATAATTATGTATTTGGAAATTCAAATTAGGAGAGATTAACATTATTGATGCCTTTATTGCACTCTTTTAAATAGTTTTTATTGAGGTATAATTCACACACCATAACACCCTTTTTGAAAATTTATTCTTCTCTCCTACAATATATCCTGACAGCATTTTCCTTCCCTCCACCCCTCCCACACACACTCTCCTTCCCACTCCCCCAGATCCATTCTTCCTCCATTTCCCTTCAGAGAAGAGTAGGCCTCTCAGGGATGTCAACCAAGCACAGCATAACAAGATACAGTGGGTAAGGTGGCTCAGTGGAGGAAGGCACATGCCATAAAAGCCTGAGCTTGAGCCACAGAGCGTGTGAAAAGAAGTGACTCCAGAAAGCTATGCTCTGGCCTTTACATGTACACTTTGCAGCCCTGCATACATCATAAACGATAATACAGAAACCATGCATGATAACGTGTGTAGTTTACGGTTTTAATTATGTTCAGCATTATGCAAGTCCCCACACAGAAACCTAGTGTCTGTTAGCAGCCCTTGCCAAACTGTAAACATGTATTTATGTGGACTCATTGTAGTCATTAATATACTTTTTGTAGATTTTTGCATGTTTGAGATTCCCTTTAAATGAAATCATATAATATGTTGTCTTTGGGTTTAGGAGTTGGGGTTTTCATTATATTTTTATACAGGATTTTACTCTATAATCCAGGCTGCCCTGATGTTCACTATGTAGCCCAGGTTGGCCTCCAACTCACTGTAATCCTCTTATCCCAGTCTCCAAAGTGCTTGGATTATAGACATGAGCCACCACCTGTAGCTTTAGTGTGTGGCCTGTTAAGACTGGCTTGTATACTTGAGGGTTTCAAGATTAACCCAGTTACACTATGCACCAGTACTTTTCTGCCAAATATGAATGTGTTGCATTTTTCTACCTGCTCATCATTTATCAGCACCTTTTAGCTTTAAGACTAATACTGTTTTGACCATGTGTTGGTACAAACAAGGTTTGGTGTAGACCTATGTTTTTATTTCTCTGGGATTTGTGTGGCAGTGGGCAATTTTTTGGATCCCATGATAACTATTTTCAACATTTTTGAGAAACTCTCAAACTAATTTCCGAAATGGATAAGCCATTTTAGAACCTGACAAGAAAGGTATAAGGGTTCCAGTCTCTCCTTATCTTCACCAGTATTTTAATAAATTGTAATAAATTAAAAAAAAAACTTAAAAAAAAACGGATCAGAAAAAGTTGCTTTGCTTAACTGGTAGTGATGCTTTTTAAAGACTTTCGTCAGCATGACAGGGAGCTAGTGTGGTGTTCTAGAGAAACAATCCAGGTGAATGGGAGAGTTGATGTTAGCAAACTAGGGTTTTGCAAGCATAGTGGTGAGCACACAGGCACACTGGTCCTAGACAGAAGAAATGCAGGGTAGACCTATGTGGACAGCATGAGTGCACATGTAAATGGATTGAAGACAAGGCTTGGTTTGTTGGTTGAGGCACATGTTTTGGAAATAGGCCTTTGGGTATACCAGTGTGATTAAAGAAATGAGGAGAGGCTTTCGGAAACTGCAGCTGCTGCCCCTGGTTTTAGTGAGATGAAGAATGCTGAGGTGGGGGACACAGGTGTGAGAAGTAGAGTTTGGGGCACGAGGACCCCTAAAGTGGAGAATGGCAGCAGGAGTCCTGTGTGCAGGAGAGAAAGGGGAAGACTCCTGTTTAAAATAGTAATAAAATCAGACGAGGGCTCCTGCTGACACAGCATTATTGAGGTACTTGTGAAGGCTAGTCAAGGGGATTTTACAGAAGAACATGTCAGAAAGAGGAGTGGTTAACTATCACATGCTGTGGAGAAAATTGGTAAAGAGAGAATAGAGTTGACCTTTGTATTTGGCAAGGTAATAGCCTCTGGCTGCTTTCCTTAAATGGGAACAAAACACTTAGTAGTGAGACGGAATGGAACAAAACAATGCCAGATTACAAAGGTGTGCCAGTCTTTAAAAAATGTGTGTCATACTGGGGACTAACTGGGTGAGAACTGCAGGCAAACATTTGCTGGATATTAGAGCATATATACATGTATATATGCATATAAGTACATATATTTGCTATTGTGAATCAGTCAGTGGTTATTTAGCCGTTGGTCATGCACCATGGAAGTAGTAATTACTTGAATGAAGTTCTTTAAAGTGTGGGAGGAGATGTGAGCATAGGTTCTCACAGAAGAGCTGGCCTTAGGAGAAGAGAGCTTTACTTTCCTGCTAGGCAGGTAGACCAGGTCAGTGCACGGAGGTGATGGGAGGAAAATGAAAGGGCTCTCCGCTGATTGATTTCTATGTGATATTGGATTAGAATTTCCTCATATGAATTTATAATTTACAAATTGCCGTGTGCTTTTCTTTGTTTAGAATTGGATCAAAGTATAGCAGTAGCAATTTTTGCCTGGATCTGTTTCCATTTATTTATATTCCATTTATTTTTATATATTCCATTCCTTTATTTATAATTAATTCTATTTCTAACATTAGATTGCCAATTCCTACAACAGAATTTTTGCACCTTGTCTTTTACTAACCTGTAAATCATAGCAGCATAAGTTTTTATGATGTTGTTTTCATTCCTAGTTCTTGCCTATGTGTCCTTCCATGTTTCTGTATAAGCTTCATGAAGCCAGGGAACCTGATCATTTTAAAAATAGTATCATCTCTTAGTCTGTATCAGTAAGAACTAAGTCAGGTGTAATTTAGTTCTTAGGTTAAATATGTGATGAGATTGGGCATGTTAAGGGTGATGTGGGCATAGATTGTGGTTAATGCAAGAATATGGGGAAAGTGTAAAAGGTCTGGAGAGGTGACTCACTCAGTAAAATGCCTGCCACAGAAGCATGACGACAGGAGTGAAGATGCACAGCACTCTTAAAATTCTGGGCACTGTGGAGGCAGAGGCAGGCGGGCCGCTGGAGCTCATGGTGCAGTAAGGAACCCTGGCCCAGAAAAGAAGCTGCAGCTCAACTGAGGGATATACCTACTATCTCCCTTTGGTTTCCATCCTACATGTATGCCACTGTACATGCATGTGTACTCACCTACATGAACCCATACATACAGGCATACATGTGAGCACATACACACATGCTCATACATACACATGACCACAATACATGCTCACACACACAGAGAATGCTATAAAGTGATGTATATTTTAGTCAGAACTATCTTGAAATCTATTATTTACCAAAAACATGTTTTAAAAACATTTAAATGATAGAAATTTCAGAGCATATAACTTTTTAATATATAGTAAGTATATGTGTATATGTATATATATAAATTACATATATGATTGCTGAGCTTGATGTTACACTTGAGATGTAGAGGCATAAGGATCAGGGGTTCAAAGCCATCCTCACCTGCATAGCAAACTCAAGGCATGGACTTATGAGAACTTGTCTCAAAAAATTAAAAATAATGTTTGTATTTATCCATTTGTATACGATCAGCATAAAAAGGCAAGATTGAGTTGAGTAGAATAGTATTTCAAGAATTGATTTCAGTTATTTGCAAGGCTTTTAAAAATAATTTTTAAAATGTAATTTCTTCCTAACTTTTGGAAACTAATTAAGCACTAATCAAGCCTTACTGGCCTGAAGATCTGTGGAAGGCTAGCTAGGGTGGAGGACCAGCTATGGTAGTTGGTGGTCCCCGTGTGCAGGTCAGGAGCAGTCTAGGATGAGGTGGGCATTCTGGGCTGGTCACTGAGAAAGAGTGGCTGTGCTTCCTAGGGAAAGGCTAGACATCGCTGTTCTTAATGACCAGGAGACAGAGTTAAATAGATTTAAGAAACAGAGAATTAGTGAGCAAAGGAAGTGATATCACAGGCAGTGATGACATGGATGTTCCTACCCAGAGGGCTCTCTAAGGAGGAAGACGTAGATGCATCCAGCAAACAACATTGTGAAAAATGGGTAGACGTGAGGAATGGCAGGAAGAGGGGAAAAGTGAGGGGAGAGTGGTGTACAGCAACAGAGGCCTAAACAGTATGCTGAATTCAGTCACACGTTGTAGCATTCTGTGAAGCTGAGGTATTGCGTTCTGTGGTGCTTTTCGAAGACTTTATCTTTGAATGAAGCATGAGGGAGTTTCTGAGGTAGAGGGAGAGCTTTCGGTGGTTGTGTTTTTGTACCAAGTAGACTGTGTGGAGAGGCTCTTGTAGAATTTGGAGGAGCCTTGTTGACACTTGTGAGGACTTCAGAAGAACCATCGATTCTGGTGCTGAAAGAAAAAAAAAACATAGGGTAGGTTCAAGAAATGTAGATTTTCAGAGATTAAGAAGTAAGGAATTCAGGCCATTCAAGATAAGGTTCCTCTGTGAAGCAGGACAGTATGATAAGAGAGGAAGGAGAGGAAGGTTTAGAGAAAACCGAGAAGCATTGAGGCAGAATGCCTTACTGGACTGTTGGTTTGAGCCAGACTAATTTTAATTTTGATCTTCATGTAGGAGAATCACAGCAGTAATCTGTGAACCACAGGTCCTTTGTAGCTGTGACAGGCTCTGACAATCCTGATTAAAAGTTATTTTTAAAACGCTTCACCATGACTGCTTCGTGTTTGAATTGTTTTCATAATTTATTGAATGGTGTGAGAGGTTAGAGAGTAAGGATAGCTGGCACTTTGCAACTGTAAAACGTGTTTCTGGTGTTTCTGTTTCTCATTTCACTGTCTTGGCTTCATAAAGAAAACATCTGAGTCCTTAGATGTTTATTTAGGGTTTGTTTGTTTGTTTGTTTGTTTTTATAAACTACTGTCTTTATATTTCTCACTATCCTGCAAAGCAACATAGAAAGTATGTTCTGATATAGAAAAAAAAGACACCTATCTGGGAAAGACAAGAATTTGTGAACTCTTAACAAGATAACATCAGTGTCTTTTCAGTTATAATTTTAAACCAGTTTTTGAAGAATCAACGAAGGCTGAACCGTCATAAAGTTCTAGCACTGGTCCAGGTAGCATATGATCTAAAATGGGCTGCAGTGATAGGCTTGTAACTGTGTCTGGAAGCGAATGTTACATCTCTCCCAGAGGTTTTACATTTTAATTGCTAAAACAGAAACTAATCATTAGCTTGTTTAATCATTTGCTCTCAAGTTTGTGTTTGGGCAGTGAGATTTTTATGAAGAAAATTAACCCAGTCCTAAAATGTTAGTGCTTGCGAGTTTTGCATGACAAATGCTTACAGCCTGAAAGAGCAAGGGAAACAGTTTTTTGTTGTTGTTGTTTTTTAACTAACTTGGCAGAAGTTCTCAGTCATTTTGTTTTATTTTTCCTTATTATAAATTTCATTCAAATTTTGTGCTTTTAGTTTTCTCCATTATGGAAGTATTAAACTGACTTTGGCAAACTGTGGTTTTTGCATGAAGCAAGGAGAAAAATGTGTTGTGAAAAAAGTAGATTGGTGTGGGGCAGACTATGTTAGCCAACCTTTCTGTTGTTGTAAAGTTATTAGGCAATCCTTTTCCACAGCATATATTTCAAAAACACACGTTGCTTCATTCTATTTAATGGTTATTATTAATTTCTTCCTCTAGATGAAATTATAAATGTATGTCAGGTCACTTTGAAAGTCGTTTGACTTCTAATACCCCACTAATAATAATTGATAGTTATCTCAGATCTTAGAAATTGAATTACCTGCCCGATAATGTTGCTACTCATCACTTTATTAACATTTGAATGGTATCCAGAAAAGATGCCAAGGACGATCAGAGCCATACAATTTGCTCAGGGAAAACATGTCATTATTGCGCTCCCCCTCAATACTCATGTGCTTTTTAAAGTAGTGAGTCTTCTTGTTTGAGCAGAGGCACTGAAGCGCCTTGTTGTAACTTTCTCTGTTTGTTTCTGTTTTAGCACAGACAGAGCTCTAAAGAGGAAGATTATGTCCATCACCAGGGCATAGATGTGAGCATAGAATCATATAATTATAGCCCTAGTATACACCTCTCCATCTGCACCACACTTTACGCTGTTTAACGTGTTTGAAAATAATTTTCAAGAATGCATAAGTAAAACTGACTAGTGGCTCTAACAAGAGGTTAATTAGTTAAGTGATAGATGTGTCTTTTTGTGTGCAGAATTTTTACTAAAAGCAGAGAATGCTGAAAGAACTTCAACTACATTAGATTTGCCTGATTATCTGAGAGATGGTACTGATATCTAATATTTATGCAGTACTTCATTAATATCACTCTTTATAGTTTATTTCTGCAGATAGACTTGTTTGACTTTTTATAATACAGACAAAGGTGCTGCCATTGCACAGTGCCTGCACTATTTAATCTATTCACTGCATTTCCCAGTACCTGATACTTAACATGCAAATACAATATTATAATTTCACATCATCTTTATTGGCACACTCTTATTAAAGCACAGACAGGACTTTTGTTGCGATCCTCACCTAGAGATGAATAATAAAGTTCAACGACTTTCTCTGTTATTTTCGTAGCATATAGTTATAGTATATTATTTTTGGCCAGAGCTTAATAATGGATCCTGAGAAGTTTTCAGGTTTGGTAATAAGTTAACACTGATGTGGTTTTAACTCCTTCTAATTATTTTGAAGAATTTTTTTTTGGTTGGGAATATAGCTCTGGGGTAGGACACCTGCCTAGCATATGTAAATTCCTGGTTTGATTCCCATACTCACACCCACAAAAAGGTATTTTTTATGTTTTAGGACATAGCATAATAATTTTACTATTTTAGAGCTGTTCTACTGTATGGTCTTCATTGACTTTTCCCCTAACATGTTTAAGCTCTTTGCTGCAAGAAAAGAAGTGCATCTTAGATGTACAGTCATTGCTTGAAAAACTTCTGTTTTTACAAACATGCAGCTAAAGAAACAAAGTGCATGTAGCTACAGCATAACTGTCCTGTATAGAACACAGTTGTTAAACATTAGCACAGTGGAGTCCCAGTGAAGTCTGTGTGGTTTGATTATTTAAAGCAAAGTAACGAAAATAAAAAAATCTCTATATATTAATATTTATATAGAGTATGTTATCCTTTTATTTTGTTAATTCAAAGTTTATTTGCAGTGAATTTTTAAAATCAGGCTATCTCAAGTTGTTTAAAAAAATCATACTTTATGATTCTTAAAGAAAAAGGTTCACAATGAACAAGACTAAATTTTTCCTGAAATTTATTCTAATTTCTAAGATAAAATTACTAATAAACTTTTTAACTGTTTTAGTGAACTAATCTAATGAAAATGCACTTGTTACACATTTCATTTTTTGTTTTACTTGTTATAGACTATATAGAAATTTTGCTCAATGATCATTTTTAACCAGTCATTCTGTGTTTAGTATTTAAGAAAAAGATTTTTTATACCATGGAAACTTTCTCCTGGCAAATGATGTTGTAGGGTGTTACATTTATCGCCATAGTACATGAGTAACACAAGGGTTTTTGTTTTCTAAAAAGGGCTTCTCTGCTAGTTTACCAAAACACCAGAGAAATGAGGGTGGGAAACACTGGCACTCTTTCTTAATGAAAAGCAATCAAGGAGTCACTTTTATATTTACATTTCTTTGAAACTTCAGACCTCTGTATTTTGAATTATTGCATAATATCAGTTAAAATGTAAGTAGGTTAAAAAGGTAAATTGTTTTGATTGCCATTGTATTTTTCCTTAATAAAAAATGTGTCCTGTTTTCCAACTGTAAAAACCAACCATCTGAATTGCTACTGTCCCCTTGACCTGTTACGTGTCCTGGTTTGGGTAGTGAGCAAATATTTCTCATCCAGTTTTTGCACCACTCATCTATGAAATCTGAGGTACTTTCTGATTGCCTTTCCTGTTGCAGGTCAACAAAAATCTCTCAATAACCTCACCACCACCAGGCCCTACAAAGAAGCCAAGGGCGAAACAGCCATCTGTGCTGACCACTGATGAGATCATACATCAGTTTGGATTCCCTCAGACTGGTGAGCAGCTTTCTTGCTTTGAATGTTCTTTTAAGTGTTCAGTGCTATTTTTATGAATTTACTTACTTCTATTCAGAAATAACACTCACGGCAATCTAGTTGTCGGTTTGCACACCTGACAAAGTATATCCTAGCATCTCTTTTTTTTTGAAGTCATAGAAATGATGTTGAAGTTCAAATTTGGTGATGTTGACATCAGCTAACTTGAACTTACATTATGTTAAAGAGATCACCTAAAACTGAAAACTTTACATTCTAAACATGTACAATATAAAATCTGATTAAGTTTTTTATTTGAATAAAGGAACCATGGCTTATGGATAATTTTATTTTTTACTGTTTTTAAGTTTTATATAAAGCCAAAACAGTGTGACCTCATGGATAAAAAAAGTTACAGACTGAATGATACCACAGCCCTTCAAGTTAGCAAGTCAGTAGAAAATACAAAAGGTCTACTTTAAAAATCTATATTAATCATGGAATTGAAATGAATTGTACAGTTGCAATTTTTAGATTAATGTTTTAAATGTGCTTAAACAAGGTTTTCAAAAGATATTAAAAGATCTATGAGAAATGATAATCTTTGTATTGAAAAATGACTTTTTCTATCCATTAGCTATTTTTACAATAGTCTACCTACTACCAAATTATAAGAACTGAACAATCACAAAATACTTATCTGTGATGAAGAAATTATGACAAAAAAGATTAGCTTGACTAGATGGACATAATTTATTTTGAAGTTTGAGGATCATATTACTGTCCCACTGTGAAAGTATATGGGATTTATCATTATAGAAGTTTTATTAGTCTCTATGTAACTATAAACCTTAAAGAGGAAATGCTTGGACCTGGAAATATTATGTATATTTTTGCTTGTACCTTTTATTAATTTTTATTTCAAAAATGAAAATGGTATTTGTTGAGGTAACTGTTGAGGTGACATGAAAATATTTTATAAGAGTAAGGTATGATATAAAGTTGACAATTATATTATAAACATGCTCATGTATGAAGTTTAAAAATACATGGAGTTCTGTTTTCAAATCACTGTAGTAACTATGTTGTCTCCCATCTTAGAAGCTTTAAATTTCTAATGCTGCAGATGTCCAGCAGGCTTAATAACAATAACACAATCGCTGCTGGTTATTATAGAAAGGGCACCGTGCAGTGCACATCCAGGCTGTTTCTTCCTGCTCCACAGAAACACTTGGCTTGACTTGAGAGGTTTTCTTTTAATGACTAGAAGTAAGGGGCCTCTCCTCCCCATAAACTCTTAACATTTTAATGCTGTGGTCCATATTTTTCTGAGAAGAAACTTTTCAATTCTCTCAAAGGCATAGAAGTTGAATGTCTGGTTGTATTACTATATTATCTTAAATCAATTTGAGAAGTATGTCTGTCAGCCAATAAGATATAGATAATATAAAAGCACTTTCATGTTCTGTAAAAGAGCAGAAAGAATTGCTGGGAAGATTCTTGCAGTGGAAAGAGTGATTATTAGAGAAACAGATAAAAATAAAGATTCACAGTAGAGAAACAACTGGATCTGATAAAGGTAATCTTGCAAACTTCAGAAACTTAGATGGGGGTCTTTCCATTTACCATAAACTTTCATAACAGTAGACTCTATGAGTTTGTATATTTGTGTCTTAAATGTCTGCTCAGAGTCACACTGTCTCAGAGGCATTGCCACAGAGCCATGGGGCATAGGCATCACGGCTACACCTTACTTGGTTTTGGTCAGTAATGTGCTTGATGTCATTTTAAGTCATAGTCTTCCTAGAAAGTTTATGTATTATAAAATAAGAATGTGATCAGTTGTAAAATGGCCACTAATTTTTTTTTTCATTAACAATTAGTCTTTTAGAAGAAATCCTTCGCTCACAGCCAGGCAAATGGATGTTCAACTATAGCCTCACTTGCAAATGACTATAGAGTCTTGAGCAATTTCTTCATGCTTTAGTTTTCATAACCCTTCAGGCAGTTGAGGCATTTGGTTTCTATCTGGAAATCTGTAATTGTAGGGTATATCTAGGAGGAGATAGGGGGAGGAGTTGTGCTGAACAGGATCAAAATACATTGTATACCGCTCTTAAGGAATTAATAAAAATATTTTAGATAAGATTGTAATATTTGTGTAATGTTTAAATAAGGTTTAAATATGGATAAGTAATTATACAAATATGTTAGGATATGAAATATAGGAACACCAAATCAAACAATTTACATATATGTTTAAAATTGGAATCTTGGGGATTGGAGAGATGGCCTTGTGCTTAAGAGTGAGTACTGCTATTGCAAAGAACCTGAGTTCAATTTTCAGCACACAAGACAGGAAGCTCACAACCACCCCAGCTCCCTCCAGGGATCTAGTGCCCTCTGACTCCACAGGTCCCTGCAGTCAGAAGCGCACAGACCTGTGTGTACACACACAGCCGCATGACTAAAACATGAAATAAACCTTAAAATATGTTTTTATACACACACATACGTACGTATGCATATCGCACATACATGAATAGAAGTCTTAATGAAAACCTGTAGTCCTGCAGAGCTTAGTTTGGGGCAGAGCTGTTTTTCCAGAGCTGTAGTAATGGCCACCTGTACTCACACAGAGACTTTGTTTTAGACTCTGTATAAATGTGTTTGCATGCTGAGGGTTTATGTTAACCTTATTTGCTCAAAGCAACTTCTAGCAAATTGGAACTGCTAGAAAAGTAAGCATTTCTTAAGTGGTTTATAAACCTTGAAGTTTGTAAAATGCCTCTTCGTTTACTCTAAACTTAAAAGTATTCTTTGCTGTGGCCTCTCAAAGACGTCTAGTTAGTATTATAGTCGTTGCCTTTAAGAAGCTTGAGAGACAGGTGAGCTTGCAGCAAATTAAGTTAGTGTGGTAAATTCTGAAAGTGCAGACAAGAACTTGCCCCAGGAAAGCAGGGCATGAAGAGGCTCCTCAGACTGCGCATGCTTCCTGCCTGCGCTTCCACTCCCGCCCAGTATCTCATTCTTAGCCCACCTCCAAGTCGCTGTGGCAGAGACGGATTGAAGTCATACTATACTCAGAAAAAAAAATAATAACTTTTTTTTTTTTTGAGACAGGGTCTCTCTGTGTAGTCCTGGCTGACCTGGAACTCACTTTGTAGACCAGGCTGGCCTCAATCTCAGAGATCCACCTGCCTCTGCTTCCCAAGCGCAGGGATTAAAGACCTGTGTCACTACTGCCTGGCTAGGAATTAACTTTTAATTTTCTGTATAGAATAGAATTACCCCAGGGTATCAAAGCAGATGCTGAGACTCATAGCCAAACTTTGGGCACAGTGCAGGGAATCTTATGAAAGAAGTGGGAAATAGACATGGAGAGGACAGGAGCTCCACAAGGAGAGCAACAGAACCAAAAAATCAGGGGTCTTTTCTGAGACTGATACTCCAACCAAGGACCATTGATAGAGATTACCTAGAACCCCTGTGCAAATGTAGCCCATGGCAGTTCAGTGTCCAAGTGGGTTCCATAGTAATGGGAATAGGGACTGTCTCTGACATGAACTGATTGGCCTGCTCTTTGATCACCCATCCCTGAAGGAGTAGCAGCCTTACCAGGCCACAGAGGAAGACAGGGCAGCCACTCCTGATAAGACCTGATAGACTAGGATCAGAAGGAAGGAGAGGAGGATCTCTCCTATCAGTGGATTTGGGGAGGGCCATGGGTGTAGAAAGGGAAAGAAGGTGGGATTGGGAGGTGAGGAGGGACAGAGCTATAGGGGGGATACAAAGTGAATAAATTGTAATTAATAAAAATTAAAATTAAAAAAAAGAATAGAATTACCCAAGGTATTACTATGAAAAGTATACCATATGTTATGATATAAAATATGTTTTTAAAAAGTATTACTGATAATCTGTGTTAGAGGCAAGCTAAAGAAAAAAAGAGCTCCCATAAAACATTGTAGATATTATTCATTGACCTATTACTCCAACTCCCTGATAATTAAATAATAAATAAGCTTACCTTTTAAAAATTAAAAGTAGGTATTTATTAAGGAATTTGAAAACTACAATTCCAATTTTGACATTTTAGATAAAATTTACAGGTTACAGCTCATGTAAGTGTTTTATGCCGTAGTGAGCAAGCCATGTACATCTCTAATCGCTTTCAGAACTTAGAGAACCCTCTCATTAGTAAGTTAACAGCACACCTGAAAGCTCTAGAACGAAAAGAAGAAATCATGCCCAAAGGAATAAATACCAGGCTCAGGGCTTAAATTAATAAAATAGACAGAACAACAACAAACCAATATAAATAATCAATGAAACAAGAGTTGGTTCTTACAGAAAATCATTAAGACTGACAAACCTTTAGACAACTTAACTACAAAGGTGAAGGGAAAAGATGCAAGCTAACAGAATTAGAGATGAAAAGGGGGACGTAACAGCAGACACTGAAGATCCCCAGAGAGTCATAGACCTAAACTGGAAAATCAGAATTGCTTCCATTCTTTCTTAGTGCAGTGAGGATATGCCAAGCAATGCCAGCTGGTGTTTGATAAGCATTTAAAGTATTTTGTATGTGTCTTCGTTTCCTCAGAACAATTCTACAGAAGTTCAGCATGAACATAGAGAGTAAAATCATGTAAATCTTTCCAGAGCATAAACCATTCTGTCACTCATTGAGCTTAGAGTGAATCTGCGAAGCAGGGGGCTGGCTTGCTGTGAGTCCTGCGGCCTGTGGCAGCCACACCTGACTCTACGCTATCCTCACCATTCAGATGCCAGTCCCTCCGCAGGGAGTAGGGGTCAAGTTTAGGAGATCAAGCAGTCTTGGAGACATGTCCTTGTATCTATTTCTCTGCCAGTGGCATACAGTCACTTTACTTTGCCAGGTTTTCCTGAAAAAAACAAACAAACAAACAAAACAGTAACTTTGGGAGAGTGCGGTTTTTTGAGACTGAGGTATCAAACAAGATATCTTAATTCTTGATTATTAATGAAGTCACATTTTC